CATGACGTACATGACGTACGGTCAAGCGATCGTTTTTATTATTGCACAAAAGAATGCAGTTTAGCACAAAAGTTATTAACTGGAAGATATTTACAGAAAATTATAATTTATTTAAAAAACTTATATTTATATATAAAAAGAAATTCCATGACGTACGGTCAAGCGATCTTTTTTATTATTGCACAAAAGAATGCAGTTTAGCACAAAAGTTATTAACTGGAAGATATATTTAAATATTACAGAAAAAAAGTTGATTCTCTTTAGTGTAGATAGCATATATACATATGTACATGTAATTCTAAAACACACCTCCGCATTCTTTCTTCGTCATAGACTTTCAGATGAATATACATGAATATACATGAATATATATGACTTCCCGTCTTCTAACAAATACTTATTCAGAATCATATGAAACAGTCGTACTTTTGTTCACAAAAGTAATTTAAATTATGAAAAATATATATGCTACAGTAAATATTAATTTTGGTTATTGTGCATAATTAGCAGCAATTATATATAAGTACCAATACAGATGGTTAATGTGATCAATTTTATTGAAATAATTATTTTTACCAATAATTTTACATTAAAGTTTATTTAAAAAATTATAATTATATATCATAATATTTATATATAACACAATATTTAATTAAATTTACCAAATTTATTATTATGTATAATTGCCGGTAATTATATATAATTTCCAAATTAGTCAAATTTACGGCAACATATACAGATAAATATTATGTACCGTAATGCTGTTTTTAAAACGTACATAATACGTGCACAATATACTTGTTGTCAATTTTCTCACATTCTTTTTAGATACATATCTCCTCGATCATTCTTTGACATTTCTTTGATATCATGAACTTACATAATTCTTTTGTAATTCGGTAATACGTACCATTAACAAACCGCTGAGAAGTTGTTTTTCACGTGTCGGTTTTTTTTCGTTGCACCGATCATCAGGATATGCTGTCTCCAATAAGAATGATGATTTTTCTCGCTTCGGATGATTTTTGTCGCTTCGGAAAGATATGGCTAACTACAATATTCTTCATTTCAAAATTTACTCGAAACTTGCGTTTTCTCTTTTTATTTACATAATACTCATCGGCCTTGAGTAATGTATTCGGACTGAGAATTTCCACTTATTAGATTGCCGTGTCAGCGGCTAATACATCAGAGCTCCATATAATTTTTTTTATTGCACAATTGTGTATTTTTCATGTATTTTTTTATTGCTTAATTGTGTATTTTACGTGCTTTAAATGAAATGAAGAACTTATTACGGAATTGACAAATCGATTGTAATAATAATTATGAAATAAATATCGGAAATTGATAATTGATGAATAAATAAGGAAAAAAGAGAAAAATGCACATATTTATTAAAACTACGTTACAGCTGTTTCCAATATGTTTTACTTCTTAATAATATTTTATTATACGTTTATTTTCATGATGATGTTTTATTACACGTTTATATATTTTTTGCTTGCAATTATAATTATTCTGATATTATTTAAATAATAATATGATTGAAATTAATTATACATATATGTATTATTTATGATTGCAAGAAGAAAATATAAACGTACAATAAAACAATCATGAAAGCAAATAATATTATAATATCAGATATTTCAGGAGTTTTATTGCAATCAATCTTAAAGTATGTTGTTAAAAACTGTAGCCTCCAAAAGAAGTTTGTTGTGTCGATTACGGTTAATAAAATATTTATAGTTAAATATTTTGCACGAAAATTGCTGAATTGTGAATTAGGCCATTGAGTATTTACCAAATAATTTTCAAAGCTTTTTAATGCTTCTGATTCAACTTTATTGTTATGTATAACGAGAAAACGGACATTTCCGGATTGGGTTGCAGTTTTAAAAGATTTTATTACTGTTTATTAACACAGTTAATTTTTAAATATTGTCGGTCGTTTTTATTATGTATCTTCTTCAACTTATTGTTAAGAAATGAAAGGACTATTTTATAGAAACTCAAGGACTACTCAGTAATCACTTCTTTTCACTTTCTTATCTTTATCTCTCAATGATTTTATCGTAGAAATTCAACCAATTATCTTTTCCTTTATTCGTTGGATAGATTAAACAAATCATCAACATAAGCTTGTCTATATTAGGATCACGATTTTTATTTCAGTACTTATCTTTCTCTTGAACTTTTATTTTTAGCAAATATGAACGAGATATGTGAGAAGTAATAAGGTTTTGGCACATTATTTTACAAGGTAGCGGCGTTTCCAAAAGGAATAACAGCATTAAAATTAACCGATGTTTAACTTATTTTTTATAATATAATATTTTCTTTAATATAATTAAGAAAAGATAAAAATAAATTAAATTTTAGTTAATGTTAATTAATTTTTTAATTATTTGAAAACTGTTGTGTTATTTTAAAGATAGACGAAAATTAATTAAAGCAAAGACAAAAATGTATAATTGTATTAGCTTATAAAATGAATTATAGCGTCTTATGCTAATTTGAATAATTTCTTTTTCTTTTTATCTAAATTGTAAATATAATTATATAATGCTATTACAATATACATATTTAAGATCGTCAATATTTCGAATCATATATTATATCGCTAAAGATATTTAAATAAAAATGCAAAAATTTGCATGTCTTACATTTTATATATCGTATGCTAGCATTATTACAGAAAAAGAGAGAAAAATTGTATTATTTCAACTCCCCAGATAGCAAAATGCTAGCAGCATGCGCGCAGATTGGCAACAAATTTAATCAGAAATCTGCTGACAAAAATTTGTAGCAGACGTTTGGCAAAATCTGTTCGAACAGACTTGGCTATCTGGGTATATTTATGCATATTAATTAGGTTTGAGAATTTAATTTCTAATTTTGAATAAATTGTTCAAAATCATACTCAGTCTAGTATAGAATGTATATGATATTGACAATTATCGACATATCTGATTATAATAAAATAAGTTTAGAAAAATAAAAATAAACTGTTTCTATATTATGCATTATACAACTTTAACTAAATTCGCCTTTATCTTTTAAAAGTTTCTAGCCAGTTACAATTAACTAAATTTATTTCTTTAATTCATCTGCATTGTAATCTGATCATTTTCAAAGTTAAAACTATCAAGATATGATACTATATAGAATAATCTTCATGACTCAAAAGTAAAAAAATTATAACATAGGATATTATATATTGTAAAGGAGGAAGAATAAAAGATGAACATTTGAGATTTTATTTTTATTTCTTTGAAAAATTCAAAGCAGTGAATTAAAATTTCATTCGGTGTGGATACTGACTGCTTCGCAAACCAAACATTGCTGACAGATAAGTAAACAACAATTTTTTATCTGGGTGCTTCTTGATGGCATCAATCACTAGCTTGTCAACTATTTTCTGATCAGCTTTCCTCTGATCGCTTGGTTTGTACTCCTCCTTCTTTTTGCTGAAAATATCACCCTCCTCTTTCTTGGCACGCTTGTCACGTTTCCTCTTGAAGTAATCATCATTTATACGCTTGGGTAATTGAATGCCAGAGAAATCCAACTTTGTAGAGGTGGCAATCACATAATTCTGGCTGACTCTTCGCAAGGGGCAGGCATTGATCAGGAATGGTCCTGTTTGTTAACAATTATAAATTATAATTAAGTTTGTCTTAATAGCTTTTATTAACAGATTAAACTATATTAAATATTGAATAGATCAAGCACTACCAAATGTTGTAAAATTTAAATTTGTAACCTAACATACCTGTAACCAACTCTTCAGTTGTTTTAAGAAGACAACTCTTTTTCCTTTGTGAAGTCCAGCTAACAGAATGCAGACTGTTCCAGGAGTCAAAGTAGGCCGTAAATAACGACGATGTTCATGGAAACATTTTTTAGAATGGTGCACAGTAACTGGGTCAGCAGTAGGATAGCTTGCACGCCTCTTCTTCAAAAGTACGATACGTTTCTCTCCATTTTTATCACCGCCAATCTTCTTTTCGATAGTCAATGGTGTCGATGGCTTGGGCTGCAACAATACATTCATCAACATACAAACTATATTTGTATTTCATTATTTGAAATTAAAATAAAATCTTTAATCAAATTTAATGAAAAATAGTTCTAAAAGATTATCTAAAAGATTTCTTTTAACTTAATGATGAAATAATAAATAATAAATAAAATCATGTACCTTTTTCGCACTCTTCTTACCCAGGAATTTATAGATTGCCTTTTTGTGGTACATACGTGTACGACTGAATCTATAAACACCATTTCCTAAATCATAATTTCTTGGTTTTCCTCTTGAAGGCTTTCCCTTGCTTTTTGCGTCCTTTTTGGCCGCAGCAGGTTCAGCCTTTTTCTCTGGAGTTTGCACTTTTGTATCTGCCATCTGTAAAATTTTTTTTAGATTTAATCAATAAAAACAATATAATATAACTATAATACACTTAAGTACATGTAAACTAGATATATATATATTTTTTCACGCTTACATATATTAATAGCTTTATTGAGCGTGAAAATAAGAGTAATTATAAATATTATCTAAAATAGAATCTCTCGATTGACGCATGTAAAAAACGAGACGATAGCAATACCACATAGCATGCTACCACAAAATCTAACCACAGATAGTAACGTTACGATTTAGAGGTTATATCATATGCTTTTCTCACATTGAAAATATAAGTATATAAAAGTAAAATATAAGACGTAGCTATAATTTATTAAAAAGAATAAAATCTCTATATAAATTAATTTCTACAAAATTCGAAAAAGATAAGTTTTATATGTTTAACCAAGATCTCGAAACCATACATATATTTGATAATAAAATAAAATTAACGTTTGATTCCACGAAAATATAGAGTTGGCCTTACAAATTAAGCTTACATTATATGATATTTGTATATAAAATTCAATTAATTTTTATTATATTAATCGGATTTCCTCGATTATATTAAATTGTTTATCATATTGGAATCTTACCGTGAAGCGAACGGCAGCGTAAAGGTTGGTGAATATCGTTTCCTAGACGGAGCCACGTGTTATTCCGGTAAGCGCATCTATTGGAAGAAATGCGAGTCACAGGCTGCGGTCAGGAAGACACTAGAAATGCTTCAAAGCATTGCATTAACCAATCAGAATAAAAAAATCTTTATTCTTTGTGTCCTGATTGGTCAATCAAACGCTTCGAAGCATTTCTAGCGTTTTCTCGACCGCAGCCACAAATAGACATGGGAATGGTCCAGTTTCCGCTGCAAACGCTTTCTTCGTTTTTACTTTAGAATCAATAATTGAATAGGATAAACAGATATTTTTTTTTTTTTTTTTTTGAAGTTTTTCGCAAGATATGTATAATACAAAAAAAAGATTTCTTCTATAATTTTTATAGTTATTACGTCTAATAACGTTACAATAAAGAAATAATAATAAATTAATACTAATTTCTAGACAGCAAAATATTTATAAAATATGTACAAAATATTTATCTTTTACTTATCATAAATATTATATAAAATATAAAAAATATTTATGAATATTTATCATAAATATTGTGTGCTGTCTGGATTAGAATGTTCTAATATATGCTCTTAATGCCTTTTAATAATTTTTTGAGAGTACAGTTGAACTTTTCTAAACTAAATCTTCTATTTTCAAATATTTTATCTTAGATAAAGTTAAAAAAGTTATAGTCAATTTTAATTGTAATTATTTAAATAATAACAATTTAACACATAATGATATAGAGAGAGGGTAGTTCGATTGTAGTTATTAAATTACATATTAAATTAAATCAAAAAACAGAACAAATATAAATATAATTAAATAAATAAGTAATGTTAGTAGTAACAACTTTTCAGTTATATTAAAAATCAGATTGTGTACACGCATGTAAGAGAATAGAAATATTTTAATATATATTTACATAATATTTTAAAAGACTTTCTCGTTTTTGTATCTTTGTATTTTCATTATTAGATAAATCATCTTTACAATATTCAATAAACTTTTACAAATGCAATGAGGAGAATAACAAACTTATAAATTCCCATTTTCCTGTATACTACTACTACTACTACTATTCATGCATCTTGCACACATACAATACATACAGTACTCAGAGTTCTTATTATAGCTTCAAAAACGCAGCCGTCGTATACGATCAACCTTACGACGTGACAAGATAAATTGTAGAGTATACACAGATACACATTCGTATGCACATTGTCATTCTACAACCTCTGATGCAATAATCGAACAATCACATTACTGTATAATGGTTGCAAGATTTGCCATATAATTCTTCACTGCAACAAATGGCGCAGCCAAATATCAATCTCAAACAGTTCTTACAAATAACATAAATCATAAATCATATATTCAAGTACTAAATGCGTAATATAAAATATCGTACAAAGATTTACATGCAAGAAGTTGCACAAGAGACCAATAATTGATACAGCTATTAGGAATGAAATTTGAAAGCGATGTATGTGTAATGATAAACATGCTGACGATGCGATCTCGACAGTAAAAAAATATATATATTTAACGATATACAAGAAAAAATCTCGTGGAACATCTTTAATAACTCTTGTAAGATCTACTCATAAATAGCTTTTAGCTCTGTAATTATTCCTCCATTCATCCAAACGCATTCTGCCAAAATACAATGATCACAATATACATCATTGTTATATGTGCGGGTGATGGCTTCCCGTTTAAATGTAACTATTTAAAACGGTGTCTCACATCGATGTGAGATGTCTTTGTGTCCTCGTGGGGCAATATCCTATTGCATAATTTCAGATTAATCTGACAAAGACGAAGGATGTATTTATTACAAATATCGAGACACGTCGCGGATATGAATAACGAGTAATAAAAATATTGAGTCACATAATTCACAAACGAGAATGTATTGTAAAGTTCGACCACAAACGATGTGTATATTAGTAGAGTTTCTTCATCTGCGCTTCTTTATTGTCCCTGTAGAACAAAAATAGGATTAGTATTATATATCTATCTCTTTGCATGCAATAAGACTCTATAATATATAATTACCGGTAAATACTATACACCAATAATATTATCATTTGTATTGCGATGAATAGCAAGAACATGCCGACTGATAGACAATTAGGGCAATCCGCGCTTCCCGTGGTTTTAATATCTTTTTTCAATGTATTCAGTCCGTCTCGTATCTCCGACATTAATGACTGATGATCATATCCCATTGGCTGCACCTGTACGATTATTTTTATTAATATCATAAGAGAGTTCTTTATGGCATTTTATCGTTATTTTTAGGGTACAAATAAACAATATGAACCTGTGCCGTCGGAGCACGTGCTTGATTGTTAAGAATGGATTCAGTCTTGCTATGAAGTTCTCCCATAAAGGATTTAATCTCCTTGGCCGTATTTAATATAATATTTTGATTATTTAGCACAGAATCGACCTCGTGCCGACGTATGGTGTCAACCAGCACAGGCTGCTGTCCTGGTTGGCCATTTACAACCTGTATACCTAACAAATAAATTTAAATCAAATTTATTAATATATTTTATATATTGATCTAAATTATAGTAACAATGTAATTATAATAAGCGATTTACCTGCTTGACCCGCTTGAACTTGTGATATCAAACTCAATGCTCTCTCTTGTCTTCCAACAATTTCATCTAATTTTCTGTTAAGTTCACGCAAGGCATCAAACATCTGACTCTGTCCATTAAATATCTGCCGTAATTCTTTCTGACTCTCTGTTTCATAATATTCTTCATATTCTTGTTTCCGAAATTTATCTGGATGTTCTCTGTTAAAATAACATCAATGTTGAGGTTTATGCAATGCGATATTGTATCATAGAAGTAAGTGTATACCTACTTGCGATATTCCTCTTTCTGTTCATCTAGTTTCTTTTGGTAGTCCAAGTATTCCTGTTGAAGTTTGGCCTGTTCCTCTAAAGAAACTTTATGATCATCTACTGGTAACTGTCCGGGAGGATACAAAGAGAGGGTTAGGAAATGTAAGATATCATGATCATCGGCCAGGCCACCTAAATAGACAGAAATGCATGAAAAGGATACAGTATAAAATAACTATATGTATTCTCGCTCGCAGGTGTCTCAACATTTTTTTATATAACATACCAGTAGCAGCGGAAATTCCAAAGTATCCATTTTTCGGTAATACAACGTTATCAATTCGAAAACACATTTCATAATCTTGATCATTGTTTGTCATGCCATTATGAAACATTAACTAGAACAAAAATACACAAATCGGACAAATAGTTGAAATAAAGTGTAAAAAGTATTAAAAACTTTTCGAGTACACTCACTGTTAATGTATTCTTATAATACTCTATCCGTGCACGCGTGGCATAAGGTTTATTGCGGAAATCTCGCAAACAGCCTGCCGATTGTTGCGTAGAACCGTCACTATTTAACAAGAAAAAACAGAATTATATAAAATAAATTTTGAACATGTCACATGTGCAAGCTTAATTAAGTAAAATATAATTCACTTTTGATGATCAAAGATCTTTGTGCCATCGTTGATAACAGCCATGATATATGGATTATTGTGCTTATTGTCATTATCAAATGAATCAAAGAAAATTCCCAGGCCTGTCCAAAGATCCGAACTGCCGAAAACGGTGCCGTTGTAGGCGCCTTGGGCAGTTGTGTACCAAAATGCTAAACCATCCGCTCCTATCCTTGACCGTCCACTTATACGAAATACCAAGTCTACCTCCCACCAGTCGAAAGTTGTTGGCTGCTTCGACCATATTGCACCTAAATGCAGTATTTTTTAAGTTTCTTACAAGATTGTTGTAAATATCAATTTTAATTTGAAGTTAAATTTAATTATATATATTAAAAATTAAAATTATTATATTTAAAGTATTTAAGCTTCTTTATGGTAGTAAAATTTAAGATTTTTTCTCATACAATAATGTTAAAGCTTTTCTTAATAATGTTTTCATCCTCATAAAAAATTTTAAATTAATATTGACAAATTTGTAATACATAAATATATATATACAAACCTTTTTGACTTTTAAGTGAGGGCGCTACTCTGACATTTTCTGCACTAGCAATAGTATCTGTAATTTAAAATATAAATACATGTATCTCTTTTTTTTTAATTATTGATTAGATATATTACATACATTTACATAAAATATATTATGTATATATCTTTTTTTTTATATATACAGATGTATATTGTATCTAGAATTATATATGAGTAATAAGTGGTTTTGATAAAACAAGTAAAACATATGTTGAATTAAATTCAATACATTTAGCAATTTTTCAATAATAAATATTTTTTTAGATATATAAGCTTTTCTTAATAATGTTTTCATCCTCATAAAAAATTTTAAATTAATATTGACAAATTTGTAATACATAAATATATATATACAAACCTTTTTGACTTTTAAGTGAGGGCGCTACTCTGACATTTTCTGCACTAGCAATAGTATCTGTAATTTAAAATATAAATACATGTATCTCTTTTTTTTTAATTATTGATTAGATATATTACATACATTTACATAAAATATATTATGTATATATCTTTTTTTTTTATATATACAGATGTATATTGTATCTAGAATTACATATGAGTAATAAGTGGTTTTGATAAAACAAGTAAAACATATGTTGAATTAAATTCAATACATTTAGCAATTTTTCAATAATAAATATTTTTTTAGATATATAAGAAAATATATCTGTCTTAACACTAAACGATGCTTTATAATATATGTATATATATTTTCATTTCTTTCATTTAAAGTAATCTTTTTTATAACAAAAAATTCCAGTTTCATTAAATTATTATCCAATTGAAAAGCTATTAAGAAGTAAACTGTCGTTCATTATTAACGAATATCTCAAAAACATCTAATTATACGTATGGATTAGATCAATACGATTTCGCATTAGTCATCAAACATTATTTTTATATTATTTTTTGTACGCACGCGAGAGAAACGGGTACACACGTCATCAGTGTTTTGATCTCTTTCGGAGCAATCGGTGCGTTCCTTGTTTATGTATCAAGGAGATCGAGATCAAAGCGGCGCTCGTCTCGGAGCTCGAGAAAAAAAGAAGAAAAGAATGCGACGTATCTTCTCGACGTAAATTGACGTCGCACGAGTACAACATACGGAACGTCGTCGGAGCGACAGGTGTCGGTCTTGATTAGGTTATATTATACGACGATCGCGTACTCACTTCCGCCGTATTCCCAGAACGGTACGCTGCCATCCTTTTGCGCGAGATACGGTGGCTTGAACGAGTACTTGTATTCGAATTTTCGATGCGGCGTCTCGCCACGGGTGGACGGGACGGCGAACGATACTAGAAAAGCCAAAAGCCACCTCACCTCGGCAGCCATCTTCATCGCGATTGTCGACGATCGTGGTGGTCGGTGGTTGTCAGCCGACTGCTCGTTGCTCCGGCGGAAGCCGGTCGGCGCACGCCGGTCCAATCTTCGACGATTGGCCGAACGCGCGAGATTTCCGCCGCGATTGGTGCGCTAATCATTCGACGTGTCGCTGTCGTGGCCAAATTTCTAAAATTCCGCAAGCAATATTTAATTACTCTCTACCCTTTTAAAATCCAGATAAGTCTGTTCTCTTTAATCCCGATTTCGCGCGTTAACTTCGTTTTCGAGATCAACGTGCACAAAAATAAATTTTTATAACTATTGTATATGACATGTTGGAGAAGTTGCAATTAAAGTTAAATATATTGCTAGGACTTTCGGCTCTTAAAATAGAAATAGATTATATTAGATTAGAAAAACAAGCTCGCAAGAAATATAAGCTTAGAAATACATTTTATGATCTTGACGTTTGGCCTTTTACTTTTTATCGATTTCCAGAGTGATTTGATTTAATACCCTGTTTGCGCGTAAATGTATTCTGAAAAAATAGATTAAAATATTTTTTACACGTTAATGAGTTCCGTGCAAGAAATGGAGATACACGGACAAAAGATTATTATCCCTATTTTAATCGGTCTTCTCCGTTGCGATATTGCCTTTGTCGCGCAGTCGGAATCGCCATTTGATTCGCGTTGGTAGTCGATGATACACACTCGTGTCCAAGATGGCGTCGCTCATCGACAACTACGAACAGCAGTACGCCGTTCTGACAGCTGACATTACCGCAAAAATCGGTCGGATTAGGATCCAGAGTGGCGGTAAGAAATCATCGAAACGCGATTAAATACGTTATAATGATCGAAATTTATTACGTGTTCGACGCGCAAAACAATCATTACGCACAATCGGCCTTTAAGAACGATAATCGATACACGTGACGTAATTTACAGGTGAGAAAAGGGCCTTTATTCAGGATGTCGACCGGCAAATTGAAGAAGCTCAAGAACTGGTAATTGAATTTATGTTCTCTCTTACATTACAATGTCAAGGTGAGGTCCTTGGAGATCTCACTTTGCCAATTATCGAAAGATGTATAGTGTGTTGTGTAGGGTTAGAAAATTATTTCATATTTTATAATTTACATATACTTTTTTTATAAGGAATTGACGTGATACATAGTAAAAAGTATGTATATAACAGTGGATACTTTTGCGTTCAATGGGTCGACTATGTATTGTTGAAAAGCTGATTTACATAATGTTTATGATTGAAGAGATAATGTATTCTATATGAATAATTTAAATTCTAAATGAGGTTACAAGTGTTATTTCTCATATATGATACACAGAGTAGTTAAAAGAATTTTTCAGCAGGCTGCAAAAACTTTATAATTGTATTAATTTACATTTCTTTTTATATATATAAGTTTTCAATTTGGAAATCTATTTTTTTTTTTTTAACAAAAATATATTGAATTGTTTATGAGTTTATTGATTGAAAACCTTGGAATTTTCAGCTTTTAAAATACATAAATTGACAAAACTTCTTTCTCCGCTTTATAAATAAACTTATAGAGAATTGTACCTATGGATAAATTTTTATAGAAATGTTTGAAATTATAAAAATATCAAAAAAGTATATGAAAAAAAGTATAGGTTAATTAGTTAAATTTGGATTAAAGAAAAATCGATTTTAATTGAAGTAACAAAATTAAGATAAAAATTAGGATAGGCTATAAATAGACTAATAAAATCAGGAACAATTATATGTCTAAATATGTTTTATCTTTTTTTCATATTTTCATTTGCAATATTTTATTACAAAATATTTGCCAGATCAGAGCCTATTTAATTTGCAGCTGGAGCAAATGGAGCTGGAGGTTCGTGGGATAAATGGAACTGCTCGCGATCGCCTGCGCGGTCGTGTAGAGAGTCACAGAGCAGAATTGAAACGCTTAACGCAAGAGTTTCAAACGGCGAGAAAACCAAAAGAGGACATTACAGAGATCACAGTGGATGAATCATGGGACAACAATGTAACAGAAGACCAAAGAAAAAGACTGTTGGATGCATCCGAGAGGGTAGAACGATCGGGGCGCACGTTACAAAATGGTTACCGTATGGCGTTGGAAACAGAGGAAATCGGCTCTCAGGTGTTAAAGGAACTTCACGAGCAGCGAGAAACGATACAACGAAGCAGAGGGAGGGTAAGTTTGTCAATTGTACAATTATAAAGCTTATATAAAGCATGAAATCGCGCCAATGAAAGAAAGTACAAAATAATGTGTGCTAGTCCATAATAATGTTATCCCTTGTTTTCAAGTTACGCGAAACGGACGCGGAGTTAGGGCGTGGGTCTCGATTATTAACAGGAATGATCTTTCGGAGCCTTCAACAGAGAATTATCTTAGCAGCAGTAGCGTTAGTTCTTATAATTGTTGCGTGCATTGTGATATATTATAGCTTTAAGTCTAAGAGTTAAAAAAAAAAAAACAGATGTATTCTCTTCGGCCAGATCCACCAGATGTGATTTGGAAATCATATTTATTTAAAATCAGAGACTTCAATGTTATTTCTATCAAATTGCGAGGTTAAGTAACTATGTATCATATATATCGTCTATCTTGTACTTGTTTGTTACATTTTGCTGCAAGACACGATCTTTGCTATATGTACATATTTTCTCATCAATTCATCCAATCAACATTGGACGACTGAATGAACCTTGATCTCTTAGACGAAAACCAACATAGCAAACGAGTACAAAACTGGCAAAATATCACCAAACAAGAACAAAAAATTCCATTCAGTGTTATTTAAAGTCTTATATAAAAAAATATTGACCCATTCTCTCGTAGGAAGATAAATCTTATAAAGCGGTTTCACTATTCTTTCCTATCTGCGCGACACAAAGACAATTAGCATCAATGAAACAATTATCAAATGCATTATTTTCGTATAGCGGAAAGAATCGTAAAACCGCTTCGTTGTTATCTCTTTAACGTCAGATCTGGAAGATCAGTGGTAAACACTTGTCCTGCATTCATGTTTCGAGAGATACTCCGAACCACAAAATATATATCCAACAAGAAATGTATTTATTAAGTAATATTCAAGGTTTTTTTCGACGCGTCGATTCTATTGGACATATTGAAATATTATCCCTTCGAATTAACAACTACTTATAATTGTTGTAATCTTGACTTGAGCCATAATCGAGCGAATTCACTGACGGACTCTATTAATTAAAAAATGCATTCTATAATTTATCTCTTATACGAGAATAACAACAGTCGCCGAGTACATTACGTAAATAAGGATCGAGTTGTACATACATCCATCATCGAAAGTATCAAAGGATGCTTGTAATTGAGAAAGAGAGAGAAAGAAGGAGAGAAACTAGACGCGCCTAATAATAACTCCTTTTATTATTTTTAATGTTATTATTTATCTTAATTAGCCTAAACGGTGCTTTTGTCTGCGACCCTCTAATGTACCTGTGAAAATGATATATAATAAAAGTATCGAGGGTTAACGAATATTTTCGATGACAATAGTTTGATGAGAGAGGCAGCGGCGGCGAGGAAAGACTTTGCTTCCTTCTCTATCATCGTTTTTTTTTACGGTCAGTGCTGGTGTGGGCGAGCGATAGTATGCTGAGGTCGCTCAATCTGGTCAGTCCAATTGTTGATAGAGATCTTCTATCTGTGGCTTGAAATACGCTTTCAGTTGAGGCCGTTTCGATTTCAACGTTGGTGTTAGAAGCCCATTTTGCACGGAGAACGGGTCTGGATGGAGATAAATATCTTTCACCTACATGAAAATATTTAAAAAATTTCTCATTAAATTTTTCCCAATTATCGTCATATTTTCAAATTTCATATTTAAGCTTTTCAAACCTTGACTCTTATTTTTAATTTTATATATGTACATATAATTAAAATATTCGTATATACACAACATTCTTTTGTAGATACTTTAACCGTAATTCGATATTTGTTCACGCTTTTATATCTCTAATCTTCTATTCCTAAAATTTATTCGATTGTTCTACTCTTTACTTTGTTTTTATTGATTGGAGCTATGATAGAAATATCATTTTTCCCTCTCCTTATAATCAATACTTTATTTTAAAAAAAGTCTCTAGAGAGAGAAAGAACGGCAAGAGAATATTTATTGCTGACAGATTAACGCCATTCAAAAATGTTGTTTTTGTTGAATACTGACTAATAATGAAATGATAGGTGTCCTCTCTATTCTTGGCGCGTTTACAAGATTTCTGGGAAAAATTATATATATAAAATCTTCCAGAAAATAGAATGCGACTAAAAAATCTCTCTTTGAAACGCCAAAATAAAAAAAAAAGAGAACAGGAAAGAATAAATAACGATAATTTACCTGTTCGAAGGACTTGAGACCAGCTTCTTTTCCCCATGTTAGCATATCATCCATGATTAGTTTTTTGACTTCCGGATTAGCGCACAAGACGCTGAACGTGCCGGGTATGCCATTCTCTACCGCCCAGCACTTAATAACGTCTACGTCTGGTACTACTATTGCTATGATACAAGATTTCAATGACTCTCCATGGACGAATACTTGTTGTACATATTGGCTGCGTACATAGATATTTTCGATCTTCTCCGGCACGATATATTCTCCCTGCGACAACTTGAAGATATGCTTCCTCCGGTCGATTATTTTTAACGTTCCGTTCTGCAAGGAATTTGAAGGGAATATAATTTTAAAGAAAATAGGGAGATCTTTTATATTAAATATAAATATTAAAATAATATTAAAAATAAAATTATACTTTTTC